TTCAGCAGTGGACCCGGGCGATTGATGAAGGAAACGTTGTGCATGTGGCCTACATAGACTTCAAGAAGGCCTTTGACAGCGTGCCTCACCAACGTCTCCTATACAAGCTCAGCCGCATAGGGGTGAGGGGCAAGCTTTTGAAGTGGATTGAAGACTTTTTGGTCGGTCGGTCCCAGACTGTTCGTCTTGGTGGCCAGCACTCGGCAGAGGTGACGGTTACGAGCGGAGTATCTCAGGGCTCCCTTCTTGGCCCTATCCTCTTCCTCATCTATATTGATGACTGTATCCATGGATTGGACTGCAGGATTGCCATGTTTGCTGACGATATAAAGCTTTGGACCGTCATCCACAACGAGGACGATGAAGCAAATTTACAGGCAAACTAAGACCGACTCGAAAAATGGTCAGGCCACTGGCTCCTCCCATTTAATGTTACCAAATGCAACATTCTGAGGATTGGCAGTACCAGCTCTGCGCCTCGGCAGACGTACTATCTAAATCACACACCGCTGCCAGTGCTAGAGGTTCAGAAAGACCTAGGGGTGTGGATAACATCTTCACTAAAGCCATCATTCCACTGCTTGAAAGTAGCGAAATCCGCAATGTCCAGCTTATATCTCTTTAAGCGGGCATTTGCCAAGTTCGACGAAGAGTGCTTTCGCAAGGTCTTCGGGATGTTTGTGCGCCCACAGTTAGAATTTACCATTCCGGCCTGGAGACCCTGGACTGTTAAGGATCGTACCACCCTCGAAAAAGTCCAACGACGGGCAACCAAGCTTGTCAGAGGTCATAAATACCTACCTTACGAAACCAGACTTTCAAATCTTAACCTCTTTCCCCTTGACTACAGACAACTCCGTGGCGACTTAATTCAAACGTTTAGAATGTTACGGGGTCAGGACTGCTGCCTCGCATCCGGCGACTTCTTTGAGCTGGCCACCGCTACTAGCTTGAGAGGACACCCTCTGAAATTACGTGTGACAGGAGCGAGACTGGACGCAAGGAGGTACTTCTTCAGCCACAGAGTGGTAAAGGCATGGAACGCCCTGCCTGTGGACGTCGTCATGTCCTCATCCGTGGACTCATTTAAGAGAAAGCTTGACCAGTACAGGGATATGTACCTCCACAGCATCGGAAACTAACAAATTTCCCCCCTGTACCAACCGCCCACCCAACTTTTTTATGTTACAAAGCATGCTACTCCCTATATTTCAGTAACATTACGTTTTACAATGTTTGCTATATCCTGACCGCCACATATGCGCTTTCTTCGATATTATTTGGTCCATTCAGTACCGTACTGGATATTGTAAAATTTTGACATAGAAGGCATTCACAGACAAATTCATACCAGTGACCAATGCTTGATGTATGTAATTACTACCTAATTTTTTTTCAAACTTGCCTTACACATTGTTTTTTATGACGTTATTGTAATAAAAAGGGAGTTCAAAGGCGCTCGCCTATCTTTCCCTTAATAAATCTGATCTGATCTGATCACCAAATATGCCAGCCGCTGGCGTTTTGCAGTTGTGTATCGTCCCCCAAACCAGATTTCCGAACACGATAGCCTTCGCCTAAGGGAACTGAGCAAGACCTGCTCGAACAGAGACGTCCTTATTGTAGGGGACTTTAACGCCCCCAATATCGACTGGCAAGCTTGGACGGTTTCGGGTCCATCGAACACATTCGGACAACATTTGCTTGAATTGGCAGCAGAAAAACTACTTTTCCAGAATGTAACTCTCGGAACACGTGTTAGGGAAGGGCAACGTTCAAATTGCCTCGACCTGGTGCTCACTCGAGATGAGGAGAGTGTGCTGGATATACAAGATCTCCCGCCAATTGGTGCTAGTGATCATATTATGATGCTCTTCGAGTATTCCATGTTCTTCCAGCCTAATTCACCTGAACAATTACAGGCAAATATCTGGAAGGGGGATTTTTCTAGCATGCGAACGCAAGCCTCAGCAATACCGTGGACAACCACATTACAAGGAACAGTTACATGACTATTGGAGCACGTTCAGCTCACTGGTCAAAAGAATCGTTGATCTGAACTGTCCACTCAGACGAAAGAAAACTAGCAACCGTCCGCCGTGGATAAATCGGAAACTTCAAACCGCGTTTAAGAGGAGAAATAAAGTGTGGGGACGCTATCGACAAACAGAAAATCCTGAAGACCTGACGGAATACAAGCGACAGCGGAATGCGTGTAAACGCGAGGCTCATAGACTTCGAAGCAACTATGAGCTGTGCATATTACAAAATTCCTTGGAGCATCCTAAAATCCTCTATAGTTACATACGTAATGGACAGAGCAATCGTGAACCGATTTCAGCGCTAAGATCCCAAAACGGAGTAACTGAGACGGATGACCACCTGAAAGCATCAGCCTTCTCCAATTTCTTTCAGTCGGTATTCACTCATGACACAAACCCTCCTGCCATGCCATATGTAGACCAACGACAATATCCCTCCTGTCCTGCATTGGAAGACAATCTTTTCTTCTCACCCACGTTGATAAGGACCGAACAACGCCGTCTGAAACCTGCCAAATCACCTGGTCCAGATGGAATTCATCCACTTGTCCTCCGAGAATTAGCCGATGTACTCTGTGAGCCGGTGTCCATGATATTTCGGAAGTCCATGGAAGAAGGCGAACTGCCGGAGGAGTGGAAAACGGCCCATATTTCTCCAATCTATAAAGGAGGATCCAGGCTGGAACCCGAAAACTACCGTCCTATAAGTTTAACGTGCATTCTATGCAAGGTAATGGAACGACTTATTTAGCATCTGCATGGACCACAAGACGGCATCCTCCTTACGCGCAGCAATATCCCGGGCAAAGGATTCCATAGCCAAAGAACAAAAAGTAACGTCATTTACCGTATCCTGTGCGCTAACTGCCGTTACGTTTATATTGGTCACACGGGTCGACAATTTGGGACTCGTTTTAATGGACACAAGCTAGCTATCCGCCGAAGCGACCCTTTATCTCTCGTGTTTGCACACGCTCTTGATTATGACCACCGTTTCAATTAGGACGGTAGTGAAGTGGTCGCCATGGCTAACACCAAACAGGCACGGGAATTCCTCGAAGCTTGGCACTCCGATGCAGATAGCATTAACCGCCATGTTGACCTAGATGTCCACTACAAGGGTCTTCCATCGCGGTGGACTGACTGGCGCCCACCTTACGAACAACAACAGTTAATGCGTGTCCCGACATGCATGGTCTCGCCGACACGCCATTCCTCCCTCCCTTCCCTACTCTCACAACCCGTACCTCCCCCCCCCCAACACGGTGAACCACGGGTGGGACCCACAACACCTGTCCCCACATTCGGCACCCATCACAACACGATGCACACCTCCCCTTTGCAAGGTCGTCTGCTTACCTCTCCGTCTACGTCCTCAACCAGTAGTGTGGCAATCCCACCTCACTTTATTCACTTTGTCTGACGACGGGTTTGTGCAACCAGCTCGAAAATTTCCGAGTAAAACTCTTTTTCGACGGACTTCCTCCTTTCATATTAATATATATGGGAAAATAAAGCGATCACAGGAACCATGGTTTTATTGGCCTGACGTTTCGAAAGCAGACAAGCTTCCATTATCGAAGGTGGGTTACGTACTGCACGTCACAGTATTTAAGGGTTTTCCTTCGTGCTGGCGTGTCACTGACTTCCAGCGCGCTGCATTACAAGGTTTGGCGATAGTTGTCGTGACGGCATCGGCTCCCCCTCATCCTTTGTCGGGTGTAGGGAGGGGGGGGGGGCGTCGGGGTGACCGCGGCCATTGGTCTTGTTTGCAGTGTCTGTTGTACGCCCTCCAGTATCTCGCCTCCTTGCCCCGTTCAGACCTCCCCGTAACCGTGTGGACGGTGGTTGTCATGCAAGTCTTGACGTCGGGCTGGGGGGTCTTGTCACTGTCGTGCGTTCCCACCGAGTGCTCGCGTCTGTCTGAGTTCGAACCTAGAATGGTGTCACGAGTGAACGAGGTCGCTAAATCAGTCGGTTTGTCCATAAACGCTGGGAAGACCAAAGTATTCTCAAGCTGCATCCCTGACCAGGAGAAGGCACCCCTGGGGATTGATGGCTGTCAACTTGAAGAAGTGGACAGTTTTAAATACCTCGGGGCGCGGCTGCTGCCTAATGGACAGAGTAAGGACAACATTGTCTCCCGAATCGATGCTGCCCGCTGGGTTTTTTCAAGCCTTCGGAAATGCCTGTGGAACCGACATGACCTCACAATCGCCACTAAGATTCGCGTGTACCGTGCATCTGTCCGGTCTGTCCTTCTCTACGGTTGTGAATGCTGGGCTTTGCGTGTGGCGGATGAGCGAAAACTGGAGGTATTTGACCACCACTGCTTGAGGATCATCCTTCGAGTGAAGTTAACCGACTTTGTCTCAAATGAGATAGTCCGCGCTCGCTGCGACAACATCGCGAGGATAACTCAGGCCATCCAAGAAAGACGACTGAGGTGGTTCGGGCATGTTCTTCGTCGTCCACCTCAGGAGCTCAGTGTTACTGCCCTCGATCCGGCACCGTTGCCCCATTGGAGGCGTCGAAGAGGGGGTCAGTTCAAAACCTGGCTCGACACTGTCCGTCAAGACATGGAGGTGGTTCTTGGACCTTCGGTATTCGGTCTCCGTCGTTGGCGAAGGGAATGGGTTGAGCTGTCTAGATCTGCGGCCGCGGATCGTCACGCGTGGAGAGGTACAATTCGGGACATCATCGAGGCCGGCTAGATCAGGCATGATCGCAGCCGTATCAAGTACAAGTACAAGTAAGTACAAGAGAGTTGATACTCAATGCAGCGAACCGGCCGATAAAGTAGCCGAAATCCACTATCTACGGCGGATGTTCACCTCCAACGGTTACCCCCGCAGCTTTATAGAACGCAGCAGACTGTCCAGGCCAACAATAAAGTCAACGGCAAATCAGCCGAAAGTCTGGCGAGCGCTGCCATATATTGCGAACGTTTCCGAGGCAGTTGCTCGTATCTTACAACCATTGGGTATCGGCATCGTCCACAAACCTGAAGCGACAATTAGACCTATGGTCATGAGACCAAAAACGCCTCTGCCACGAGGCGAAACTGCCAGCGTTGTCTATCGGATCCAGTGTAGTTCCTGCGAAACAAACTACGTTGGAGAGACCGGGAAAAGGATGCAGGCCCGCATGGACGAGCACGCAAGAGCGGTAGGAAGAATGGATCAGATCTCGCTGGTGGCGGAAAATGGCGGAGCTTTTGGCCATGCCTTCGCCTTCGAAGACGCCGAAGTCTTGAGCCAATGGAGCTATCAAACGGTCAGGGACATGCTCGAAGCATGGCACACCACAACTACCTCAATCAACCGCTGCGTAACTTTTCCGACTACCTACCAAGCCCTACCGGTTATCGGCTGCCCTACCGGTTAAGTTCAATAAGCAGGGCTATCGACGAGACATCAGGCCAGAGACGGCAGTAGTCAAACCCAGACCAAGCGCGAAAATAGACGAGCATTGACAGGCATCGGAAAGAGACGAAAACAGGGGACAAGCAGCGACGAACGCAAACCCAGGAGACCGCATTCTGGGTTCGAACTTAGACAGACGCGAGCACTTGGTGGGAACGCACGACAGTGACAGGACCTCCCAACCCGACGTCAAGACTGGCATGACAACCAACATCCACACGGTTACGGGCAGGTGGGAACACGGCAGGTAGGCGAGATCCCACGAGAGTGACAGGAACCCCCAGCCCGACGTCAATCGGATGGGCTGATCAGCTGCCGTTGCATGTGCGAATCACGCTCGGCTGTTTGGGCGCGCCGGTGAGTCGATGTCTGGTGTTGCTCGTGTGACCTCCGCTGGTTTCGCGATACGGCTACGGCTTCGGCGATGGACAGCCCACAGCTCAGGATCTCTTGAAACTCACGGGGCACTGCCTCAAGACATTTTTTTACCTTCGAGGGGATCAACTATGATCAAATTAAGGGCACTCCGATGGGTTCACCAATCTCTGGACTCATTGTCGAGGCCGTTCTGCAAAAACTCTAGAAACGACTGTTCGGGGAATACAAACCCAAGTTTTGGGCGCGCTGCGTTGATGATACCTTCGTAATCATCGATCAGGATAAAATTACCTACTATGAAGAACTATTGAACTCAATCATCATTGACCTACAGTTCACGATGGAAGAAGAAGTGGAGAGCAAACTTTCATTTTCGGATGTTCTCATCTGCCGCCAACCAGACGGTAAACTGGCGACGTCAGTCTACAGAAAACCGACAAGCACACTGCAAATGCTCAGTTACAACAGCAACCACCCACTGCAACGCAAACGAAGTTGTGTACGCACGCTATACCGACGGGTGGAAACTCATTGCAGCACTCCAGTCGCCAAACTGGACAAGATGAAGCTCCTCCAAGAACTCTTCAGAGCCAACGGCTATCCACGAACATTCGTTGAACGGAGCCGAAAGCAACCAAAGAAGCGAAATGAAGAACCTAGTCAGCCAAAATCGTGGCGAAGCATTCCATACATGAAAGGGGTCTCCGAAGCCGTAGCCAGATCCCTCGCGCCGCTTGGAATAGGCGTTGCCTACAGGCCCGACTCAACAATCCGCCGGCAAGTGATGCGGCCAAAAGACCCGATCCCCAAACAGGAGGTGTCGGCTGTTGTCTACCGACTTCAGTGCAGCTGCGGAATGTGTAGCTACGTTGCGGAAACTGGCCGACGGCTGCAAACGCGCATGCACGAGCATAAGTTGGCCGTACGAAGGTTAGACCCAAAGTCGGAGGTAGCAACCCATGCCGCGCAAATGGGACACGTCTTCAACTTTGACGCCGTTGAAATTGTGGGCCGAGGTGATGATCATACGGCAAGGCAGGTGCAAGAAGCCTGGATGTCTACCGACTGTTCTGTCAACCGCCACATCAATTTACCTCCCCCTTATCTGGTTTTACGGACATTCTTGACGGGGGACAGTCACGGCGCGGGACAATCGGGGCCGCCAATTATCACCGCGACCGACGAAGATGGGCGGGATTCAGGTTACGGTGACATGCGGGTCGGATGCAGCCACACAGGCGGCATTGGTGGGCCAGGCATTAAACAAAGTGCGCCATAAAAGGAAAGCTGTGTGAACGACTGCTCAGTCTTTGAAGATGGGTAGAAGAAACGACTACCCGAAACGTCAGACCTCAAATACACCTCTCCCGGTGAACGCCTCCTCTTCTTATGATATGCCACCTAGGAATCGCATTTTCAGTACTATTAATTACAGACACAGATGTTGACGCACACTGGTCCCGATACAACTGTCGATACCCAAATACGAAGGCCAATAATAATTCCAGGCCTGGCTACGACAAATTGAGTGCGAGAAGTAAACTAATCGCTAAGCCAAGAGACAACCCAGGCTGGACAGCCACACGCGGATGTTTTGGTAAGAAGGGGACGCGGGACGGTATTGAAGACGGAGAAGTAATCAAGAAAAGCACATGCGTACTCGGGACAGTCCTTATCTACTTCTCGTAGGGCAGAATGGACCGCAAAAGCAACATCATCTAAGGTACTACGCTTGGCTTTATATGTAAATTGTAAAGGATTGATAAAATTGGAAGCCGTGTGTGTACGGGTATTACAGTGGTGGAAGCGTCTCGTACGGACCCACCCCTCTCCCCCAACTGACCCTAGGAATTACGTTACTAATGCCCCCAATACAACTGTCGCTACCCAACTACGAAGGCCAAGAAGAATTCCAGGCCTGACTAAGACGCACTCGTTTCTACGGGCAGGAAATCCCAGTAAACGAGCGCAAATGCGCATAAGTGAAGGCACTCGGACCACAACAATTGCATAAGGCACTTGACGCAGACCTGACAACAGAAATGCCTGTCCACACGTTGTGCAAACGATTAGTACAAATTCTCCGCCCGACACTATCTCTCAGTGAGGCTATTGACGGCCTTACGGAAAGGCGATATCACCCCTCTGAGACACCGAAACATGCAAAAGACCTACTTCATTTTGTAGCTGCACGATCGCCCCGTGGAACAGATTTCGAATACAGCTTCGCTTCTTAGCCGCAGGACGGGTGCTTCTATAATTAAGGAAAATCTCGCAATTACATCCGTTCCTATGCACGCATATTGCGAGGCTACCAGCGCTCAGCTTTTGTCTTCTCACATCCAGAAACGGTAGGCTGTCTCCTACTGCCTCTTCACAGATAGGCCGTATGAATAGGAAGACATTATTCAGCCTTCACTGTAACCTTTCGTCTTCGTGGTTCTTTACTGCGACAAAAGTGTCATCTACACAGGGATGGCATACTTTGGGCGTGGGATATTGAATAACCTCTAGTGGCAGCAGTACTAGTTACGCAATTAGTCCTAATATTGGCGAGTCCAGTGGGGTCCCCTTTACCAATCGGTAGTACATATTGACAGTAGCCCCTAGGGCAGAATTTGAGCAGTTCTATAGCATGCTGCGTTGGAATCCAAACAGGACTGTCCTGTAAGCATTGAGTTACACTTTCAATTGCCAAATCGCGTGACATGGTAGAAAATAAGACGACGACATCAAAAGACGGGACGCGTTTATCAGTACTTACTTTGAGGCCTTGGGTCCTGTGGAGGAATGCGTGAGAGTTGTTATTGCTGTAGCCAGTTCCATGAGTTTGCCGCTTCAAATGCCTGTACAACCACTTGACAATATTGCAAGTTGGTGGTCCGATGGGT